GATGCAGACCCGTGATTGCTGCCCGGGGCGGTCACACGAGATACTGAGGTCAGCGCAACCTTGTGGCCTTATGTGACATGACAATGAACAGTTTTAAATGCCTTTGCACAGCGACAACATGTGACTATCGAGCTCCAATATTATATATATATATATATATATATATATATATATATATATATATATATATATATATATATATATATATATATATATATATCTTTTATTAGGTACAACAAACTTACTAAAAATCTACCTGTGCGTTTCTTTTTTTGAAGAGTGTATTTAGAATTTAAACACATTTAAACATGTTAAGAAATTAATCCTGTTTGAATAAAGTGCATTACCATCAGGCAATATGTCAAATATGGATATAATCTCTAATTTAAATTGAAATTAGATGTGCAAATCTGATTCACAGGCACTTGCACGACACGTAACACCAGGATTTGCAACAAACGTGGTACAATATTAACATATTAACGTTCAACTCACCCAAACTAGGTTAATGATGACTAGGAAAATTAACACTTATGACGACAACAGCACCGTAGCACATGTGGTAGCGTGAAGGATTACAAATCAAGAGGTTGCAGGTTCGTATTACGCAAAGGTTAATAAATCGATATGTCCTTAAATGTGTTGTTGCTAGCGCTTTATGACTAAAAGTATTTCTCTCATACAAGCTGACAATGAAAGTATGTCCGAGTACTACGATAGACCCTCAACGCTTTTGGTAAAAAAACAAAATAATCCATTTACACTGATAAAATACCTTTTGCCACAAGCCCAGTAAAGTCCTCCTTTCATACAGAATTTCCAGAGCAGGAAGCAGATGTCGGTCTATGTATGAGTATATAATATAAAATGTCAACGCAAGAGAATAATCAATCTCGATTATCTGCCGAAACAGATTCCACTGTAACAGGCAAAACAAGGATGAAATTATATAAATGTACAACTGAAAATCGGTGGGGACACCATGTGTTCGCGATCTAGATACGTGAAGAAGTGAGTCATGAATTATTAACGGGTTTGACTGTTGTTCAGTGCGGTTCAGAGCATTGATGTTTCGTTTCACATTGTATTGTGTTTTTTTGTTTGTTATTTTTGAAGAATTATGAATATAAGGGCTCAAACTGCATTTGAAAAGCAAATGTGATAGAAAACAAAGCGATATTTGGGATCTATTGTTTGGGAAGTTTGTCACAGTGTCAAATGAATAGTGTACGTCATAGACCTGCCGCATTATGGTATTTGTGACGCACAGATTAAACGCAGATTTGAACAGCATTTAAGTTATATCACGGGGTGACCGCTTAATGTTGGAGTCAAGTAGAAAGTCCCTTATTTTTTTAAGTTGAAGACGGGGACCCACGGGGATTGAACGACCATGGATCCAAGGACCAAGGACCAACATATACTGTCAGAGAAGAGTCGAATCACTCCAAAGAGATGTTGATGTAAACCTACACGTAAACGTAAACATTCACGTACACGTACAACAGTGGCGTATACGCCGATGTAGACGTAGAAGTATATGTACATAGGCAGTAGTTAAAGATGTAGACAAAGAAATATACATAGAGGTTTATCTAGACATTGACGTCGACATAGACGAGCACTCACGTAGACGTAGATATAGTCATTGATGAAGATGTAGATCTAGACATAGGTACAGGCACTGACGTAGACGTGTATATAGTCTTAGAAGTAGACGTAGATCTAGATATTGACGTATACGTAGACATAGATACAGACGTAGATGTAGATACAGTCATAGACGTAGACGTAGAAAAGCCACAGACGTAGACGTACACGTAGGTTCAGATACAGTCATAGACGTAGATACAGTCATAGACGTGGACGTAGAAACAGTCACATACGTAGACGTACACGTAGATACAGTCGTAGACGTAGAAACAGTCACAGACGTAGACGTAGATACAGTCATAGACGTAGAAACAGCCAGAGACGTAGACATAGACGTAGATACAGTCATAGACGTAGACGTAGACGTAGAAACAGCCACAGACGTAGACGTACACGTAGATGCAGATACAGCTATAGACGAAGACGTAGACGTAGATACAGTGATAGACGTAGACGTATAAACAGCCGCAGACGTAGACGTACACGTAGATACAGATACAGTCGTAGACGTAGACGTAGACGTAGATACAGTCATAGACGTAGACTTAGAAACAGCCAAAGACATAGACGTAGGTGCAGTCATAGACGTAGACGTAGAAACAGCCATAGACGGGGCGTAGACGTTGATACAGTCATAGACGTAGACGTAAGCGTAGAAACAGCCACAGACTTATACATAGACGTAGATACAGTCATAGATGTAGACGTAGACGTAGAAACAGCCACAGACGTAGACGTACACGTAGATGCATATACAGTCATATACGTAGACGTAGAAACAGTCATAGACGTAGACGTAGAAACAGCCACAGAAGGAGACGTACACGTAGATGCATATACAGTCATATACGTAGTCGTAGAAACAGTCATAGACGTAGACGTAGAAACAGCCACAGACGGAGACGTAGACGTAGATACAGTCATAGACGTAGACGTAGAAACAGCCACATACGGAGACGTAGACGTAGATACAGTCATAGACGTAGACGTAGAAACAGCCACAGACGTAGACGTTCACGTAGATGCAGATACAGTCATAGGCGTAGACATAGATACAGTCATAGACATACACGTAGACATACACGTAGACGTAGAAACAGCCACAGTCGTAGACGTACACGTAGTTGCAGATACAGTCATAGGCGTAGATATGGTCAGAGACGTAGACGTAGATATGGCCAGAGACGTAGACGTACATATGGTCAGAGACGTAGACGTAGATATGGTCAGAGACGTAGACGTACATATGGTCAGAGACGTAGACGTAGATATGGCCAGAGACGTAGACGTAGATATGGTCAGAGACGTAGACGTAGATATGGCCAGAGACGTAGGCGTACATATGGTCAGAGACGTAGACGTAGATATGGCCAGAGACGTAGACGTAGATATGGCCAGAGACGTAGGCGTACATATGGTCAGAGACGTAGACGTAGATATGGCCAGAGACGTAGACGTAGATATGGCCAGAGACGTAGGCGTACATATGGTCAGAGACGTAGACGTAGATATGGCCAGAGACGTAGGCGTACATATGGTCAGAGACGTAGGCGTAGATATGGCCAGAGACGTAGACGTACATATGGCCAGAGACGTAGGCGTACATATGACCAGAGACGTAGGCGTAGATATGGCCAGAGACGTAGGCGTACATATGGCCAGAGACGTAGACGTAGATATGGTCAGAGACGTAGACGTAGATATGGTCAGAGACGTAGACGTAGATATGGCCAGAGACGTAGACGTAGATATGGCCAGAGACGTAGGCGTACATATGGTCAGAGACGTAGGCGTAGATATGGCCAGAGACGTAGGCGTATATATGGTCAGAGACGTAGACGTACATATGGTCAGAGACGTAGACGTAGATATGGCCAGAGACGTAGGCGTACATATGGCCAGAGACGTAGGCGTACATATGGCCAGAGACGTAGACGTAGATATGGTCAGAGACGTAGACGTAGATATGGCCAGAGACGTAGGCGTACATATGGCCAGAGACGTAGGCGTACATATGGCCAGAGACGTAGACGTAGATATGGCCAGAGACGTAGACGTAGATATGGCCAGAGACGTAGACGTAGATATGGCCAGAGACGTAGGCGTACATATGGTCAGAGACGTAGGCGTAGATATGGCCAGAGACGTAGACGTAGATATGGCCAGAGACGTAGACGTAGATATGGTCAGAGACGTAGGCGTACATATGGTCAGAGACGTAGACGTAGATATGGCCAGAGACGTAGACGTAGATATGGCCAGAGACGTAGACGTAGATATGGCCAGAGACGTAGGCGTACATATGGTCAGAGACGTAGACGTAGATATGGTCAGAGACGTAGACGTAGATATGGCCAGAGACGTAGGCGTAGATTTAGACACAAACGTAAACGTGGATGTAGACTTAGACGGGTTACTTTTCGACCTTAACGGGTTTCTTGTCCAGTAATATGTCATATCAAGGGACTTTCACCACAGAGGCTTGTCCTGTTGGGTTCTGTTCTGAATCAACTGCAATTACACAATATCTGACTATAACTATGTATCGCGTTATGACACCAGTGTACTGTCATGTGAAAATGTTATAACATGAAAACGGGCACAAGGGGCCCATTTTGTCTGTGGCTCCGCAATTCGCTATGACGATTATCGCCCCTTAGGTGTGACAGAATCCTATGAACGTTTGTAATGTCCTGATTTGTTGACATCGAGGGTTTAACCAACGTAGTACGTACATGACTAGACTCGCATGACGCCGGCTTTCCTCACGCATTAGGCGGTTCAAAATGACGTAAATCCCTCAGGTCAATTTGAACCATCACTTCATCAGAATATTATTACAATAAGACACAGTTACACTTTGCAATTACAACCGATATGAAAAGATATTATAAGATATATGTAAACCAGCTGTAACATACATTTATACCTAAATAGTAACACATGTCGAAATAAATATTTATCACGTGCATATATATGTAGGGAAATTTGTATATTGTAAAACTACTGGTGCCATTAAATAAAAGTGACAAAACCCTTTCTATAATTATAAGATATCTTCGCAAAAAGGGAAGTGTATCCTGCACCACTGTTGGCACCTGTCCAAAACAGATGCAAAGGCAAGTCAATTGGTCACCTGAAAACAACGTGGGAGCAAATGGGAAACGCCATTGTCATCATTTTGTCATCATCTACATGTCTATCATAAAACCGTTTACAAATTTTACTAAGGCCTAGAAATTTGTAACCCTTATCAAACTACTTTTGATCAAGAATCAAATGACAACAACGTTTACACGCAACATACATTTTTCTGAAAGAAGCAAAGTAGAACCGAGGGCACTGACCTGGCATACAGCATATGGTGTCACAATAAATAGGAATGCTGCTTCCGAATCAATAGTTTGTCCTCCTCCGAAGGCCCATCAATGCACTTTGCACGACGGCAGTGTCACAGTGGAGATGACAAATGCTCATAAAGCATCGGTCAACAAGGCAAACTGTCCACTCTTACGCCTAATTGGAATTAAATACAAGCATCTGGTGCGCGTGAACATGTTGCGGCCATGCATAATAACTTGTGTACAGATATGTCATATTTCTACGGTATGTTTACGAGTATTGATAAAGACTTACTAGGATGCACTGATGTCGCCTTTCACCGAGGTTGGGTCAACGATTTATTCTACCAAATGCTGTGTGGACGTTAATTCTGTTAACTAGGTATATCACATCATGTATTTGAAGTGTAGTCTTTGTTAATAATCCAAAATTATACAAAAGGTGAACTGGACCATTGGTAAATGTCTCTTTTGAAATTTAATATTTTGTGTTTGTTCTATGTTTAACATATTGTCAATATCTTATTATTAATATTAACCAATTATTTTTGTCAAATGTACACGAATCTGACGAACTTCGGAAGCATACATGCATGTACATGTATCTAAAGTAAATTTAATACCACGAGATTATTTATGTATTCTATCGTATCATTATATCGATAGACAGAGACAGATAGATGCACAGTTCGTTTGAGATGTCCTTATACCTGAAAACGGTGATAACAGGTTTGACTTGGCACCACTAATGAGGTGAAGCGGTACACCAGGAACGTTGACCTTTAAATAGAGTTTTCATACTTCCAAACTCTGTGGCACTTACTGTTTCAATGAAAGTTGTGAGTTAGATAGTGAGTGAGTGAGTGAGTTGGGTTTAACGCCGCTTTTAACAGTATCCCAGTTATATCACGGCGTGTCAGCTTAATGCCGGAAGTGATGCAGGTCTCAGACGTTTACCGCTTCGGTGAAACCCACGAGCACGGGCATGGTGCTGACAAACCAAGAAACATAATCGGGGCGAACCGGGATTCGAATCCACAATCATAGGTTTCTGGCGTGCCCAAGGGACACAACTCTCCACAGCGAATCGCGGCGCCTTCGACGACTGGGCCCCCGTGCCCCGGAAAATTGTGAGAGTGTCGGGTGCTACCGTTTGAGCCGCATTTGTATGTCATCACTGATGTTCAGTGATTCATTTACTTAATTTGCATCACTATTTTGCCTTTTACGCCCAAATAAAACTGTTCCAACAAATAAAGACTATTCTTCAGCTTTGACGTTTCAAATTTACGTAGAGATAACGCTGATCAATTGACACACTTTCAACATGTTTATACTTTTTTACAAGAAAACAAGTGACGCAACTGCTTCCAAACACTCATAGAACCACAATTTTATGAGGTATTCCTGGCCTTTCAGTGCCAGGACGGGTCCAGGGCCCACTTGCACAAAGCGATCTTAGCGCTAAGACTATTGTAAGCCTATGTTAAAGTATGGGAGTTACGATCATCTTAGCGCTAAGATCGCTTTGTGCAAGTGGTCTCAGGTTTCACCGAAGTAGTAGCGTCAAACGCCATCATGCTGATGTAACGCTGGCATGACCTCTGGCATGACCAGGATACTGTTTAAAGTCTCTGTACAAACTACCTATTCAAGCGACCGCCTCCGTGGTCTAGTGGTAGAGCGCCCGGAGAGCGGTAGGTCCGGGGTTCGATCCCCTGCCGCGTCATACCAAAAGACGTTAAAAGATGGTTCTTGTTGTTACCCTGTCTGGCGCTTGGCATTAAGGGGCTAAAACAAGGACTGGTCGGCTCGGAGTCAGCATACTGTGTCTGAGTGGTGTATTCATGTTAAACTGCGGCATGGTATCTCAGTGAGCTAGCACTATAAATCGGCATCAGTCCGGACTAGTACAAGCAGCCACACACACACACGTGCATGCACGTCGCTATGTAAGTGCAATAATCTTGGACGCGACGTTAAACCCAATCTCACCTCACCTTTTCAACAATGCATGTATTGTAAAATGTATTTGATGCAGTCTGAGTGGTTTGAAAAAAGATAAATGTGATTTGATTCCGGTAATATGCGCATGAAGACCATCTTGACGAGTAAAATCTGTTCTTACTCAATCCCTACTTTCCAACGTGTCATTCGGTTTAACGAAGTGGACACCGCAGTAAATATAATTGTGCTACTCGAATTTTTCTAATTCATAACCAGACTGATCAGTTGTCATCCACAAAGCCGTCGTTTTTAAAGATAAATTAACGGGTAACAAATTCACAAGAATACGGGCAAATCTTAAATCACATAACGTGCGGATGAATGTCCTAATAAAAATATGAAATGCATATATATCTAAAAAAACAAATACATCAAAACCTTAGGAGCAGTTAAAATGGAAGGACAAATACAAAAGACTACAGATGTGGGTACAATAGGTATTTTGAAAACAACTGGCAAAAGTCGTATGGAGGAGGTATGACAAGATGACAAATAAAATCGACAAAACCCTTTCCACACTAAGAAATCTGACTAGAAGCGTTGAACATTGTATGATTCTGACTATATCATAAGTCATTGATCGCCCCCTTTGCACGTAGGAGGCCGCAAAGTGTATCGTCATATTACACTGATTGATTGTTCAACACCTTGTATACTCGACGGGTTGTCCCCATATTGCATTCCCTCTGGTCGCATGAAGATGTGGTTGAACGTGGCTCTGATAGTCAGTGGTATTCTCCTGGTGAAATGCGGCACACAGGTTAAGACCGTCCAACTCAAGCCGGTGAGTCACTCAATCACGACGATGTTCACTTATGATTATGTTAAAAAATTAAATCATAACTCTAAAATAATAAGTTTTCTGCTTGTATATTCAGTCAACTGAAAATCTGTTTACTTCTGAGGGACTGGTATTTCTTTTATGGAGACTTGACATTTATTCTGCTACAGCTGACTAAAAACATAAATGTTTAGATATTATGGGATAAGATTGGGTTTGTCAAATTCATCATGGCTGACAGCATTATTGTATTTCTATTATATGTTTACTAATGAAAGCATGGATATGTTTTAACTAAAATTGAATTGAAATGTCGTAAAAACTAGAGTTTGGGTTCCAAATTAATTGTAAAAGAGTGTCAATGGCTCGGTTAAAATAACGACACTGTTAAAATAGAGTTCCCTTGTAAACTACTTGTTCATTACTGAAGCGAATGACACTTTGTGCTTTTGTTAGCTGCCTCTGCCACATAATTCTTTTGAAAAGATAGAACATTATAACAGTCGTCTAAGGCGCCGCGATTCGCTGTGCAGAGTTGCGTCCCTTGGACATGCCAGAACCTATGATTGTGGGTTCGAATCTCGGTTCGCCCCAATTAAGTTTCTAGGTTTGTCGGCACCATACCCGTTGGGTTCACCGAATTGGTAAACGTCTGAGACCTGCATCACTTCGGGCTTTCCTCCCACATTCACCTGACACGCCGTGATATAACTGGAATACTGTTGAAAGCGGTGTTAAACCCAACTCACTCACTCACTTTTACGGCAAGCATGGGTTGCTGAAGACAAGTTTTAACCCTGGTCTCGGGAACATATTGGTGATCATAGCATTTTGAGACGTACATTGTAGTATAGTACCGGGGCTGGATGTTTAACCCAATTTGACGTGATTGTACTTTATCAAGGTAAATGGATTGGGAAGAGAAACTATCAATTACAAGAGTCCCGTGTGTAAAGTGAGGAGTTATGTGTTAATTTTAATCGAACAGGATATACTATTGCTCTTTATTGCGTTAAATTCAAGGTCCCCTCTTTGAATACGAAGTTGTATAACCTTTAACGAATAGGGTGACAACAATATCGAAAAGTACATGACAGGTGTGTTTACATGTCTAGTAGACCCGTGACGATCAGGGGGAGAACAGGTCTTCAGCAACCCATGCTTGCCGTAAAAGGCGACTCTGCTTGTCGTAAGAGGCGACTAACGAGATCGGGTAATCAGGCTCGGTGACTTGATTGTTGCATGTCATCGATACCTAATTGCTTGGATCGATGTTCATGGTGTCAATGACTGGACTGTCTGGTTCAGACTCGATTATTTACAGACCGCCGAAATATAGCTTGAATATTGCTGAGTGCGGCGTTAAACAAAAAACACACACACACAAACAAACAAACAAAACAGTATCTCTAGTATCTCTAGAAGGCTTCCTCCTGGTGGTGTAAGCCTCCACAATCATGTCAAGTCTGGCGGTGCCGTGTCTTGCGTCTCGCGGCACCTTTGTCGACTGGGCCACCCTTGCCCCCTGCCGTAAAATGCGACTATGCTTGTCGTAAGAGGCGACTAACAGGATCGTGTGGTCAGGCTCGCTGACTTGGTTGATGCATGTCATCATATCCAAATTGCGTGGATCCATGGTCGGGGTGTCACGATGGGATATTTCTGAGAGCGCGTTAAGCAAGCAAGCAAAACACACAAACATCATGCAGACATGAACACTGTTACCATCAAGTATGCAACATGTTAATTATTAAATTTAAATGTTTCTTGTACCAAAGGCCGCAGACCTAATCCTGAAATAATATTACATATTAATAATGACAAAGGATTCACTGTAGTTGGCAATGGACTTTATGTATACACGGAGTGGTATGGTATCTACTCCTCGTGAAAAATATAGCACCATTCAATACGCAAGTTATATTAATCATCCAACTCAATATAATTCAAAATCCATACACGAATTAAGATACGCAACCCACGCTTGCCTTAAATGGCGACTATGCTTGTCGTAAGAGGCGATTAACGAGATCGGGTGGCCAGGCTCGCTGACTTGGTCGATGCATGTCATCGTATCCCAATTGCTCGGATCGATGCTCAAGATATAAATCCCTGGACTGTCTAGTCCAGACTCGATAATTTACAGACTGCCGTCATATAGCTGGAATATTGCTGAGTGCGGCGTTAAAACACAAACAATGCAGATTAACCAGTGAACTGGGGTCATGCGCTTTAGACCCGTGAAGGTCCGGGGTAGAACAGGTCTTCAACAACCCATGCTTGCCGTAAAAGGCGACTAACGGGATCGGGTTGCCAGGCTTGCTGACTTGGTTGATGCATGTCATCGTGTTCTAATTGGGTGGATCGATGCTCATGATGTCAATAACTAGATTGTCTGGTCCAGACGCGATTATTTACGGACCGCCGTCATATATCTGGAATATTGCTGAGTGCGGCGTTAAACAACAAAGAAACAAAGAGTTTTATTCAGCTGTTTACGAATGTTGTAAATGGACATGGATATATTACAGTTGGTGTGTTATTTTCCACGATACAAACTAACCATATTTACATTCCGGGAAATGGTTGTATAGCAAATTAATAATTTGTTTTGGAACTGTACATACACGTCATCTCTCTGTATCCCAGGTGCCTCTGAAGACTTTACAGGATGCCACCCCTCCGAAAATGGCGCCTCATTTCATGTTCGACGGCGTTGACGATGCCTACTTCAACGCGGTAAGTTTACATATCTAGAGAATACGAGGGTCGCCATTTCCGTACTCATGATAAAAAGAACAAAAACCTTTCCGTATTTACAAGAAATCTCTGCTCAAAGTAGAGCCCATTGTATTATTTCGACTGTGTCATGAGCAAACACTTCGACGCAAATGTTTGTTCTGCAGTAAAATTGAGAATAATCCGATAAGTTGCAAATAATTCGCGAATAAGTTGCGAATAAGTTACAAGTAATTCGCGAATAAACACTATTGTATTGCTTTACGGGACTAAGAGTTTTATGTGACTATCGCGCCATCAACGCGTGGGGAGCCATGGCAATAGTATCAATACATACAATGTACACAATGATGCTACACTGTGAATGAATTGCAGGCAATGTTTGATAAATACATGTAAAATATTCCTGCTATAATAATGCTGTCACTAGTTATCCTTACTGACATGTATATTTGATTGCATCGTGTATCTTTTCTTGTACAAATCTACATGTATACATTTATGTACTAGCATATTCTTATGTAGTGGTTTGATGAATACCACTTTAACACTGGTTGTATCACGGTTGAGTCATGTATTGTATTTTCGTTGTTTAAGCAATATTCCAGCTATATGACGACGTTCTGTAAATAATCAAGTCTGAACCAGACAATCCAGTGATTGCTATCATGAGCATCGATCCATGCAATTGGGATACGATTACATGCATCGACCAAGTCAGCGAGCCTGACCACCCGATCCCGTTAGTTGCCTCTTAAGACAAACATAGTCGCCATTTACCGGAAGCATGGGTTGCTGAAGACCTGTTCGATACATGTACAGTAAAGTACGGTTATAATGAACTCAAAGGGACTACTAATTTTTGTTCGTTATAACCGTAGTTCGTTATAAGCATATATACAGCATATACAGCAAATAGTCGGGACCAAAAAGTAAGTTCGTTATATCCGTAAGTTCGTTATAAGCGTGTTCGTTATAACCGTAGTTTACTGTACATGTATTTTGGTAAAACAACACATACAAAATGAATCTACATGTATGGAGGATGACCTGATAAGTGTGGCCACACATTGATAACAAAACGGATTATTATATACGCATTTGCATTAGACGCATATACTTCAATTCCTATGTTATTTAAATACAAAAACAACTAAACTATAACATATGGATCTCTCTGTGCGTAACGTATGCTAAGCGTCATAGTGATATAACAATAGAGTGAGTGAGTTGGGTTTAACGCCGCCTTTAACATTATTCCAGTTATATCACGGCGTGTCAGCTTATTGTGGGAGGAAAGCCCGAAGTGATGCATGTCTTAGACGTTTACCACTTTGGTGAAACCCACGAGCACGGGGATGGTATTCGAACCCACAATCATAGGTTTCTGGTGTGCCCAAGGGACGCAACTCTGCACAGCGAATCGCGACAACTAAGACGATTGAGCCACCCGTGCACCCCCCGGAGAATAACACACACACACACACACACACACACACACACACACACACACACACACACACACACACACACACACACACACACACACACACACACACACACACACACACACACACACACACACACACACACACACACACACACACACACACCTAGATATATCCAATTTATATAGAGGACTTTTTGTGTAGTCACAAAGACACAAAAATGTTTATGAAAGATGAATTGGTGCCTTGATTAACAACAAGAACGACTCTTGTTTTTTCTCCGCGTTCCTGATGTGTATCATCCCTTAATGGTTCATTCTGTTACATGTATGTTTGGAGGCGATATCAAAGGCGCAGCCCAACAAACACAGACAGTGTCTTCCGTTTCGCGTGAACTACCACCCCATTTTCCCACCCTGTCAGTAAAAGTTATGTAATCGGTCCACAAATAACTTTGATGTAGTGTCAGTGTAGAAGGGGGTTTGAATCACGTCCGTCAGTGGCCACAGAAGTCCTTAAAGTACAGTAAAAAATAACCTAGTGATGACAAGTCTCGTTGACAATGTATCCGCCCATTAGTTACACGCCCCATTTGTCATACACCTTAAAACAACATAGGTCATGGCTGAAGGCACTGACTGGTCTACTCTGTGTTACCTAAGAATTAGAATGGAGTGAGCAAAAAAAAGAAGAAAAGTAATCCTGTACTTTATGTACTAATATATTAAGCTTTGATTCATAGGGATACTGTACCCGATCGAATGATAGGCACCAGACATTCCAGCAGAGAGTTGTTGTTAATTGTAGTAGATACTTACTTCACTGTATCTCAGCACGAGAACAGAAAACATTGAAACATGTAATTAGTACACAGAGAATTGTTACTTTTCATTTCCTGTACATTCCTGCTTTTACAAAGAGCCTGCATGTTATGTAATTGGTGCAATGTGTGTCCACATGCACAGTCTCAGCTGGCTAACGTCACATCTCCATTCAAGTCAGCTCTTTTTTTCAAGCATTATGTAATTTCCGAAGACATTTTGAATGAAAGGAATTAAAATGAAATTCGTTGTATACTCACATTTAACACGTGTTTTGCTGAATACAGAAACTTACACACCCATTCTACGTTTCGCTCCAATGGACATGGACCATTCAACTCGCTCGCGAAGGGAGAAGGTGGTATACGACGTTACAGTGAATACATTTTTATAGTTTACACATGTATATATAATTCTTAACTGCATAATACATATTCATGATAATCAATTAGTCTCGTTCCTTTTTCGAGGGTTAGCCGAAGTGGTAAACGTCTGAGGCCTGCATCACTTCGGGCTTGCCTCCAACATTAAGCTGACACGCCGCGATATAACTGGAGTACTATTAAAAACGGCGTTAAACCCGAATCACTCACTCACTAACTCACTCCTAATTCGAATGAGCACATTCTGAGACTAAATCTGCACGGCGACAGACACAATCCTTCTCTGTACAGTGCATTATCATTTGTTCTCGTTCAATCTGTTGTACTCAACTTTTGAAGTCATTGTAAAATTTCAAGGAGTACTGTAATGATGTGGTATTATGAATAGTGAAAAACAGTCACCATATTGGATGTACATGTATAACATGTCTTCCAACACCACGCTTGTGCCGACCCCCGGGGTCATAAAATTAATTGGTCCCATGAAAGGGGCAATTAGTTTTGCAGATACTCTGTAGTAGCTCCGCGTAGTGTTTGCGTAGCTACGCAAAACTTTTGCAAACATTTTACGTAAAATGTTTACAAAGATTCTGCGGAAAGTTTGCGAAATAAAGTAAACGATTTTTGCTTTGTAGTGTATGTCAAGGAATCACTATCAAATAGCAATGATACCAGGTATTTGCGATAGGGTGAGCGCATCCTGCTCCACCGATGCCACCCATCTGAAACACATGCAAAGGCAAGTCAATTCTTCTCCTGAAAAGACACGGAAGCATATGTTTCATATAAGTGAAAACAGGTAATTGCATCGGACAGTTTCGGTCACTGATGCGTCAAATCTGGAAGTGTCCTCCATGTGGCTTCCCAAAATGTGACCCGTGAAGATCCGGGTGATGACATGGAGGTATGATGACACTTAGTTTTTAAGTAGTTTGATGTTTAACGCCGCACTCGGAAATATTCCAGCTGTATGACGGCGGTCTGTAAATAATCGAATATGAAGCAGACAAACCAGTGATGATAACACGAGCATCGATCGACGCCATTGGGATACGATGTTAGCATCGAACAACCAAGCCAGAGAACCTGACCACCCAATCTCCTTACTCGCCTCTAACGACATCATCATGGGTTGCTGAAGACCTATTCTAACCCGGATCTATTGCTGGGCTTTCCCTATCAACTGTGCTTCACAATGCGACATTTGAGAACGGAGCGTGTCGGAATTTGAAACTCTTGGCTCTTTAAGTATCTCAGCTTCCCCTGCAGGTATTGAATGGAGTTCACGCAATCAATTTCATGTAAGCTGTGGCAGCCTACCTGTTTCTGGGATGCTCTTTAAAAGACCTTCCACGTGCTGAAACGTGTTGATGATTTCGCTGACTCAACAAAATCTTCCAATTATTTGGGATTAGGATTTTGAAAACAGAGACCTCTACTTCCTCCTGCATCTGCTTGACATTAGACTGAACCTACTGTTAACGTTATTATTCACACATGAAGAGGTATCCCGTTTAATAACAATAAAGCTTTATTAAACAGTGTTTAATAACATGACATGCGGATAGGACGGTTTTTTTACATTAACTGATTATTCAATTAGGGGCGCCGGTAGCACTGGCTGGTTGGTTGGTTTGTTGTTTTACGCCGCACTCAGCAATATTCCAGCTATATGATGGCGGTCTGTAAATTATCGAGTCTGGACCAGAAAATTCAGTGATTGATATCATAAGCATCGATCCACGCAATTGGGATCAATGCCATGCATGAACCAAGTCAGCGAGCCTGACCTCCCGATCCCGTTAGTCGCCTTTTACGACAAGCATAGTCGCCTTTTACGGCAAGCACGGGTTGCTGAAGACCTATTCTTGCCCGTAATCTTCACGGGTCTTGGTAGCACTGGGCAACTGTACTCTGAAGGTCTACTCCTAGACGGATAATCTACTCCCGATTGACACTATTTTTTATCACAAAACAACAAAGATGCAAAACACTCTAAATAATTATCATGCTTTTATTTAATATAATTTATTAAAACTGTATTAATAATGTTTACTTGTATATAAATTTATAAAGTGGGTGCTGATGTTTCTAGCTTGGTGAAGTTCGGAAATATAAAGAATTCAAGAATCGGCGTCTTATCGTTTCTTATAAAAGCGGCGCATTTATTGCCAGATTGAACCCAGAGAAAACAGTCTGTAGTCGACTTAGCTACCAATGTATGTTGTATTCCGGCGCCACACGTATACCAACAACTGAAGAAGCGTTTGGTTTAGATAATGTGAGCAGTTTGAGAAATACAAATGTTTCGGTCGCTAGATACCTTGTGAAATACACACGCTGTAACG